TCATTGCTTTTCCCTCTCTGCTACCAGCTATTGCTTCACAAAAACCTAAATGAAGGCAACGCTCAAAAATGTCCATGCTGATCAGTGTCTTGATAAGGAATGCAACACCACCACTACAAAGACTGCTGCGTGGCACCCAAACTTAATAGAACTGTCTACCTATTTAGCGTTTCAATCTCATCTTTAAATATACATAATTCCATCAATTACAGAATCACAGAATGGTTAGGGTTGGAAGGGACCTCTGGAGATCATCTAGTCCAACCCGCCTGCCAGAGCAGGGTCACCTACAGCAGGATGCACAATTAGGCTGTGCATATTCAAGAGATACAAGCCACAACATCAAAACAAAAAGATCTTGAGAGAACAAAATTTTGATTTGTCAATTATATTCAACCACGAAGACTTATGACATTCAAGCCCCCTGTTTTGAAGTTTCAGGAACAGTTCATAGAAGTCTACTGCAATCTCCACATCAGTGGGCTTCATCGCTAAAATAACCTGATGGATTTTACAGTGGTTATCTTCAAGGACAACGGGTAAAACTTTTTTCTTCCCCTACCCTAAACAGGGTTTAATTATTCATGCTTCCTATCTGTCTCTGTGTCCACTTGACTATTTCCTTTATCTTAGATTTCTAATATACATGATATACATAAGTTACCTGTCTGTGTTCAAGAAGCATTTGGACAACGCTCTGAGATGTATGGTTTAATTTTTAGGCTGCCCTGTGTGGAGTCAGGAGTTGGACTCTATGAACCTTGTGGGTCTCTTTCAACATAAGGGGTTTCAATGGTTTACGTGGGAAGAACACACACACACAATATTCTGTAACGTTACTCTTGGAAGAGTTCAAACTGTCTCATTATTATTGAATTGATAAGTCTTACAATTAAGTTTTTTCTCATTTGCAATTATGTTCAGGATAATTATGAAATTAATAAATGAAATAACATTTTGAAACATTGGCTGTTAAGTACTTCATCTTGCACAGAATTGACAGGAAAGGTGGACTAACCATTTACAACTTTTTCCTCGTACTTTTAACTATGCAAATTTGTTCTTATACTTTTCCTATGTAATAAATTCAATGACTACCAACCACTCAGTAAACTCAAGAAATAAAACTATATATTTCTATTTTCCCTTTATTAATATGCATGCATCTCATTTTATAAGCATCTTTGAGACCTACTTTATGATTCAATACTATACCTATTATTTTCGAACACACCACTGGGCAGTAGGGTAGGAAAGATGACACTGTATTAGCTATCAAATTACAAAGAGTTTCCTGTTATCCTAAAGTAACATAAAAATAAAGGCACACACCCACCCACGTTGCTGTCAGTGGATCTTTCTTTTGGCATTATCTGCAGAATAAAGGATAGTCGCTGTCCTGTATTCTTAGGACAGCTTGCACACAATCGAGCATAAGATTGCTTTTAGCAACAATCATGCTGTCTATGAATAAGAAGTCACTGAACTTTCCTCCTGAAGCACAGCTACACAGTTATAATTACACAGTAAATAATCTAATCCATCCCACACTGCAAGCCTAAATCGTCCCTTACAACGAGAACATGTAACATCTGCTACAGTTTGCAAAATCATGGGGGGGGGGGGGAGAAAAAAAATGCTCATTTGGGAATGAGTCAATCAAAAAGTTCATTTAAGTATGGGTTGAGGACAAATGTAAGCCTGATGAATATGACACATTTCAAGTATATGCATAATAAAATTAAAGTCAATCATGTGTCATTTCACTGGCAACGGCAGAATGAGTTTAATAAATACTACTTCCTCTGAGAAATAAGCTACCAAATTCCATATAGAAATTATTCTAAATGAGAGTTTAAAAAAAAGAGTAGGTAGTGCCTGTGTCCCTCCATTTAAATCTGGAGCACATCACAAATCAGCTCTACTTGGAGCTGTGGGGTTTTGAATACAGCACAGCTCTGATTCTTGACTATGCAAGAAGTAGCCCCAGAACATTACGTTTAACATGTCACATATAAGCATTTCAAATTCATGTGAACACTAATGCCTACCTAAAGCAGAAGCAGCAACAGTTTAAGATATTTTCTTCATACAAGCTTCCAAACCACAAATACGCTTAATGAAATCAACTAAAATTGGATTTAGAAAGCCTAGAAACATAGTATACTAAATTCATACAAAGTTATAAAAGTTTTTTGATATGCTTGTTTTCACATAAGTGAAATAGAAAAGTCACAGAGGCTTGATTAAATAGAGCAGAATTAAATGCACAGAATAAAGGTTGTTTTTTGGTTTTTTTCCTTTTTTTTTTTTAATGACTGGTCTAGTATTATCTGCTTTCAGAATTTACAGTCCTGTAAAAATTGTGACCAAAGACCTTAGGAAACACGCAACTTCAACAGCAATTGAGGCTCTCTGCTAGAAGACAGGATGTGAAGTTTCACCTGCACTAGGTTCTCTTGCATCTAAAACAGCTGACTTGACAACATTTTCAAAAACACCCTAATAAGGACTGATAAAAGAGCTAACAAAAAGGAGCTTCAGGTATACTACAGCTAATCTCTCCATACCACCAAATGGCTATTATGATATGCACCACCTTTCTAGTAGGCCAGCTAGAGTCTGTTATAAAACACTGTAATAAAGTCCTATCGACATGATTTCTCTGTACATGTACTCCACCACCCCACTGGACAGCTGTGTGTAATCAAATGAGGAAACTAGGAAAAGTCTATAATTATATACCTGTATTGATAGATTAAGAGCAAGCATAAAGAACAGAATTTTTTTTTTTTTCCAAAAAGAATATGAGAAGAATTCATTGAGACTTGTACACTAGATAGAGATTTGAAAAGAAAGAATAATCAATAAACTGGAAACTATTAAGTCAGCACAAAAAAAGAGATACGAGGGCATCTACTGACTTTCAACTCATTTGTACTTCTGAAGCAGTCAGATCACTAAAGAAAACCCTAGGGGCTACATACTGCACAGATAATGCAAATCCATAACCCAGCAAACAAAACCAGAACTACCTGAGACTTCAGCTGATTTCTGACAACAGGGAAAGAAAGAGGAGTAATCTGTTTGGCCAAATGATTCTTTTTTTCAAAATATATCAAAGCTGACATGTAGATCAGCTGAGAAGTGTTTGCACTGCAGCAACTGCTGCTATTTAATTGTCAGCCAGGCAACTAACAATGTTTTCTAAAACAAGAGATTAAGACCAACTCAAAGGAACTTTCCACAGAAGCCACAACAGATGTTTATTTTCTGGTTTTAGTACTGTATCTGCCAAAAATATTTTGAGATTAATTGGTTCTAGCAGTTGCATACAAAAAAAAAATATATACTTAAATATCGACTCTATTGCCTTAAAGCATATAGAAGAAGTATATGGCATGGGCTGTGCATCAACCAACACCACACAACTTGGCTCCTCTTCAGTAGTCATATCAAGGATCTGAGAGTCTTCTACAAACACATAGATTCACTTTCAAACTGCCAAAGGCAATTAAAGTAATGCAATTTAAAGAATACTTTAGCAAACCTAGACTTGACCTGTACTACAAATGGAACTTTTTCAACCCTAAACATTTTTTCTGGTCCCCCTAGTCCAGAAGATGGTTTTCTTACTGGCCCCTTGAACTAGCAGTTTTTAGAACCGAGTGGTAAAATCGAAGCTTGATGTCTTACAACGTTCCTGGAAGTTCTTTGCAGTTTAGGGGAAGTGTGCAACAATTTGCAGTGCTACAGATGCTGCATTTTTCACTCCACATCAAAATTTTTTTTTTTTTTAACACTTCAGTGTAATCAATCATTTGATTGATCAGTCATTTTAGCCTAAAAACTTTACCACTGCCAGTATAAAGAGTTTTGAACTACTTGCATTTGTAGTCTGGACTAAGTGTTTCTACTATGAATCAGCCCAAGGACCCTACAGCAGTACTGTAGCTTCAACAAGGCTTCAAAGAGGACAAAGTACAGGGAAGTAACAGCCAAAATTAGGTCTTGTACTAGAGCATCAAAAGCACAGCGACTTTTTCTAGGTCACTTTCTTATAGCATAGCTAGTACTTCTTAAAACCCATGAAAAGAAAGTAACACTGGCAACATCTCGAGAAGCTGTTTTCTCCATCTCAAGGCTACAAAGAGCTTACAGAGACTTTCTACCTGCAGTTCATTATACACTTAA